CCGGCGCCCCCCCCCCCCCCAAGTTAAACTCAGAGCCGACAGCCGGACACCCAAGAGCTTGTTGGACCCTGAGCTGGGGGGGGTTCGGAGGGGGCTCTGGGCTGCGCTGTCGTTGCAGGCAGGGGGCAGCGGGGGGAAGATGGGGCGATGCTCCCCCTGTGCCTGGTGTGGGCAAAAGCTTCAAGTCCTGGCACCATCTGCACATCCACATCACCCCGCCCCGTACCACACATCCATCACCTCCGTACCCTCCCTTTCCAGCACTCGGAGTCTGTCTGAGCCTTGTGTGGTCCTCATTCCCTAAAAAGCCCCATCCCCTCCACCCTTCGCTGCCCCTGGGCCACCCCCAGCCCTGCGCCCGGTGCCTCTGAGCCATCTCCCTGCTGCTGTGCTGGCTGCCAGGAATTGCTTCTCCCACTCCAGCTGCTAGACCAGCCGCCTGCACCCGCTGGTGTCTCATGGGACACCCTCCACCCTCTGGGACCCCCGCCCAGCCCAGGATGGGACCGTGGCACCGAGATACCCGGGGGGGGTGCTAAGGCTGCATATATGGCACCGGCACCAGCCACCGCTTGGAGCCAGGGCTGCCCTGCCACGCCAGCAGACCCCCCCTCAGCCGTGGGTTCCTCCCAGACCCCGACGAGCCTCTGGATCAGTCCCACCCAAAGCAGGGCTGGCATCTCTCTAGGAGCCCCCTGGGATCCAGCTGTGCCTCCCAAGTCTCCTGTGTCCCCCCCTCTGCCCCTGCCTGCCCTGGGCCAAGAATGGATCCAGCGGATACTGCTGCCTGGGAACTGGGAGTCTGGTGCAACTGGTGAGCAGGGGTCTGGGGGCACTGGGAAGCTGGGAAGGCACTGGGAGAATGCAGAAGCAGTTGGTGGCAGCACTGGGTACTGGGGGAATACTGGGATGGGAACCGGGGAACTGGGGGCCACAGGGAGGGTGCTGAGGCTGTGGGAGGGGGGGCTGGGGGCCACTGGGAGGCCTAGGGGGATGGTGACCCTGACGGGGTGCTGTGACAGCTCCCCTATCCACTGACCGTTGCATCCTGCAGGCTGGAGTCCTGGTGCTGCTGGCCACCCGGAGGTCCCCAGGGGCTGGCGGTGGCTGCAGCGGGGTGCGTGCACCCCGGGGCACACCCCAGAAAGACCCCAGCCCCGACGTGGCCAGATCCTGCCCTGGCATTAGCTGTGCCAGCAGAGCCGGGGGCCTCTCCTGGGGGGGTGTCTGATGGCGACGGATATGTATTTAATGAAAAGTGGAAACAAATCAGTGCTGTAATGACCTCGGGGAGGTGTACAGGGCACGGCAGGGGGCAGAGGGAAGGGCACTTGGGGGCTGCCATATGCCTGGATGGCGACATTCTCTGGGGAGGTGGTGGCAGGTGGGTGGCTCTCGGTGCTGCAGACCCCCCCAACCCTGGTCAGAGCAGGAGGTGCTGGTGGTCCCAGGGAAGGTGCCCGTTTACTGCACGGGGCATTAAGGTACATGGGGCAGGGAGGACTGGGGGTAGGAAGGGGCACTGGCAACCAGAGCACCCATGCCTGACTTGGCGGGGGGGTGCCAGGCTCAGGGGGGCGCAGGGAAGATGCGGTCGAAGTGTGCCAGCAGCAGCTCCACGGCCTGGTTCTGCTGGGCCATGCCCGCCGCCAGGCTGCCCGGCTCCCGCTCCGGCCGCAGCAGCGTGGGTCCGAACACGATGCCGATGTTCTGGCACGTCATGCGGTTGACATCCACCCGCTCCATCACCCTGGGGATGCGCAGGGTTGGGGGGAGGTCCCATGCACCCCATCCAGCCCTGGTCCTCCCTCCATCACCCCAGGGGGTCCATGTGCCAGGGCTCTACCACTCGGCAGGCCCTAATCCTGTCCCCTCCTTCCCTCGGCGCACCGGGGCCACTCGATGCCCCCCCCCAGATACCCCATAGCCCATCCACCTGTGGGGCAGCTCTGAGCCCACC